AAAAATCAGTAGAGTTCTCTCAATCTCTATTTGCGCATTTTTTTTACTTGTGCTTGACTCGATATGTTTGGGTATGCTTGTTTCTGTGTGCATATGATGTGTGACTAAGTTTGTTGGGATAAAAAAGAAACACCTCTATAAAAGATGTTTTGAGATAGAGCAGTAGGTAGCTATTCTAGTTCAATTTGGTTTTACCTAACCGATTTTAGAACCCGTCTTGGCCGAGTATATACTGACATAACATGAAGATGTTTTTAACTATAGGTTTCGCTTATTCAATCTCCCTCTAGATGACATCAAGAACCTTTTAATTGGTATCAAAGGAAATGAAGGAAGGACATTGCAAATCGCAACCTGATGCTTTGCTATGGCCTCCATTTGGAAAGGTTTGAGGTTCTTAACGCATCCATTGTATGAGCTGAATTTTGCCTGCCGTTGCCCTCTTTATAACAAATTTTAGCAGGGGTTTGGCCCCTCTTGTTTCTCTTAAATGACACGATGTCATCCTCTTTATTCTGGCAGACAACAACATGGCTCCACACGCATCATGTAGGGGCCGGGCTTCCCCAACGTGACAACGTGGCTATTAGCCTCAACCTCCACATATGTAACTGGTGTCCACGTCACATCTATCAGCAGCCTCGCAGTGCAGAAGCACTACAGTAAGTGTTTCGTCTGACCAAAACTCGAAGCACTCACCGTCGCGTGCATTGGAGCAAGAGCAGCACAACCTCACCACGCGTTTTCAAGGGACCACAGTGCCCAAAGACACAACACTTGCAGGCCGTAGCCCACTGCTGTATCAGAGGAGAGCACTCACTTGGGTTGGGGAAATTGATAGCTACGCAGTGCTCTATCTACATGGCCTATTACTTTTTCCAGAGGCGCGGCTAACGCTCCTGTTAGCATACGTTGCTGCTGCTCTGAGAGAAGAGGAAAAGAAAGGCTATAGCAAGTTGCAACCCGAGGCTTCAATATAGCCTCGGTTTGGAAAGATTTGAGTTCCTTAAAATAATCATCCTTTGAAATTGATTTTTTTGTTATTTTTATCTTTGCCAGAACATTTTTATAAGGTTCGTACTCTAATCCTTGTGTAATATGGGAGAAATATAATCATGGGATAAACCTCCGAAGACTAGAGTTGAGGTAGGCACAGGCGCTATCTGCTTCACGGCAAAACATGAAAAGGACCGGGGAGGTGGAAGTTGGGGACACTTGGACCGGGTCGTTGTGAACCTCGTCGAGCTGCCACAGGGGACGCGGAGGCGCCGGCCCGCCGGGTAGTCCTGCATGTTTGCTTCAGAAACCGTCGGGGCGTACGCCGGCCGAAAAGGCGACGACGACCTCGCCTTCCTCGGAAACACGCGTGCGGACTGCGGCGTACCGACGAAACCGTGTCCCTCTTCGTGGCATCGGAGGAAGACGGCCGGAGAAGAAGAAAACGCGCAGATCACACGTCCGCACCGTCCCAGCTGCTGTGCTGGACGATGGAGTGGTAGGAGTTCGGAAGCAGGCAGGCATACCCACTCGTTCGTTCGCTGTGTGATTGCTGCGACCTGCGAATAAAGCTTGTCGTACGGTGCATGTGAAATTACGAATGCGTCTGCATGCTAACAAAATGCTTTGCATATATATGCCGTGCACATGCTAACAAGTAACAAATAAACTACTAGTACTGTACGATGTAAGGTACTTGCAAGGTGCTTAGCTCCTGGCCTTATTAATGGAAGTTCACTATGTGGAAAATAAAGAACAAAAACGTTGCTGCATCTTCGGTCACAGAATGTGTGCAGGACACAGAATATTTTATGTTGCCAGAGGAGCGCGTGTGCGTATTGCGAATATGACAGCGACTAAAGGAGCCTCGTCGGTCTGAACCTACTTCCCAACGGAGACCGGGGATTGACCAATCAATCATTCCCACGTACAGTTCAAACAAACATACTGCCAATATTTATAAAAAAATCATGAGACCAAAGATTCAATCTAGTGGACGTCCAGAGGGAGAATTTGAAATGTTAGGTAAATTTTACCTTCATTTGATTTACACGCATGCAGCAGATTGGACCAAGAATATAGTGGCTGAATGGGAACACGCGAAGATGCATGCATGAACTGACTCCACCGCCAATGGTATTATTTGTCTATAAACCGGGTTAATAGTGTCCCGAGTCCCCAAATGTTGGAAGGTTGTGTGCCGTCTGCACATCTAGAATGCGGAGGTAGTGTTGGTCTTCCGCTGGATTTTTTTATTTTGTTATTATTATTTATTTTGTAATTTAAAAAAATATAGTAAAAAAACTAAATCATCTTCCCGTGGATGAAAAGCACTAAGGGCACTCCCAACCCAGACTCTACCCATAGAATCTTAAGAGCATATTCAAGAGTTTGTCAAATTTTACTTGGCAAATCTTGTGATTTGCCAACTCCCAAAATTATATGCCAAGTAAAAAAATAATCCATCTCCCAAGAGTTTGGCATTTTTGACTTGGTAAAATAAAAAAAACCCGTTAACAAAACGAAGAGGCCCGCTAAGCGAACGAAGAGCCCCGCTAAGCGAACGAAGAGCCTCGGATGCCAAGCCGTATACGCGCGCGCGGAGGGAAGATTTGCCAAGTTGCTATTGATACCAAGTTGTTTTGCCAAACTGTTGGAGGCTATTTTTTCTTGTTTTGCCAAAATTATATGGATGCCAAGTTGAGATAGCAAACTCTTGGAGATGCTCTAACGTCCAAGACTCTATCACAAGAAACCATAATCCGCAATGCAGAACTTGTAATAGTAGTTTCTATAGATAAAAACATTTATTACTCAACACAAAGAAAGGTGATCAATTGTGGCATAAACTGTGTGACCCACCCTACACCTCTTAACAATATCACCATCCGCATACATGATATATATATCATCAGAAGCAATATGTGAATGAACCCAACGCATACAATATATCAGTTAGCCAGCAAAGATACTCTACACAGAACTTCAATGAAAATTTATATAAGCTAGCCACGAGTCATCCATTACAATAGCAATAAGGATAGAAATATAGCATGCATCATGACTGAGACTGGCGTCCATTACAATAAGACCAGAAATATAGATAGGAAAACCAAAATAATTAGATAATAGTATTTAGATAATCTTCAGCCGTGGCTTCAGAAGTCTTCCTGCCTACAAAAAACAATCCACCATCCTCCAGATAGAAACCATCAACACTTTTATGCCCTGATCATCATGTAAAATAAGATGAGATAGTAAATAAACAACTGTGTTATAAGAAAAAGAGAGATGGACAGAACTATTGTGACATAGTCATATGAAAGTATTCATGTAACAGGGTAGTATATAATATATAAATTTAATATTTCTACCTAATTAGTTCGATTCCTGAACTTTGGCCAGATGTGATCAATCAAATTAGATTGTAGTTGCCTATGAGCTTCACGGTCACGAATCTCGGTATCTCTCTGTAGTACCTCCTCCATCGCCGGATCATGTCCTTGAGTGATTGTAGATGGCTGAACAGTAGACGTGGTTGCTTCCTCGTTCAAGTCAAACGAATCGTCCTCTGTATCCTTCTCGTCCTCGATTATCATATTGTGAAAAATTATATAAGCTAACATGATATTCTCAAGTCCCCTTGTTCATATAGACGCGCTGGCCGACGCAAAATGCAAAAACGAGATTGTAAAATCCCAAATGCACATTCAACATCTTTTCTTGCCTCCTTTTGATGTTCTGAAAACAGCTTGTGCTCAGCTGATTGTGGTGCACGTATGGACTTGACAAAAACAGTCCACTCTGGATATATTCCATCTGCAAGATAATAAGGTTTGCTATATTGTCTTCCATTCACAAAGTACTGCACCTAGGGAGCTTCTCCTCTTAACTGATCGACGAACAAAGTAGATTGATTCAGCACATTAATGTCATTGTTGGACCCCGCCACTCCAAAGAAAGCATGCCATATCCATTTGTCATGTGAAGCAACAACCTCTAGAATGATTGTTGGCACACCTTGATCACCATGGGTATACTGTCCCTTCTATGCATACGAACATTTTTCCCAATGCCAATGCATACAGTCAATGCTCCCTATCATGCCAGGAAAACCACGACGCTCACCGATCTCCAACAATCGTTCCACATCTTGTACTGTGGGGTGTCTCAAGTACTCTTCGCCGTATACTTCAATGACTCCCTGAATAAACTTTTTCAAGCACTCCACACTAGTACTTTCACTCATCTTCAAGTACTCATCTAGTTGGTCTGTAGAACCGCCATATGCTAATTAACGGATCGCTACTGTACACTTATGAACTGGTGAAAAACCCGGGACGATTCAGAGCATCCAATCTTATGGTGAAATAATCAGACCACCCACTCAAGGCCTCAACAATCTTCAGAAAGAGAGGTCTCCTCATCCTAAATCTTCTATGAAATTGTGTCTCATTGTAGACTGGATTAGGAGAGAAATAGTCATCTATTAGTTGCTTGCTGGCTTGTTCACGAGGCCTATCCACATATCGCCTAGGACCACACCTACTTCTTCCACCTTGTATGACATCAGCAACAGACTGCATCTCAGCTACTATATGATCGCCTAAATCATCTAGAATTTCTTGCTCTTGAAGATAATCATCCATGGAGTACAGATCGACAGGGTCCATGCTGTCATCTCCATCCATGGCCGCAAAGGATAGCAGCGGGTAGCAGAGAAGAAAGGGAAGTAGTAGCAGCGTGTAGCATATAAGAAAGGGAAGCAATGACTACAAGGTACCGTGGCTGTGCTATATATAGTCACAATTGCCGTGGCTGTATGTTTTCCCACTTGCATGCTATTCAGTTCACACTTGAATGCATTATAGTTTCACGCTAGTGGGTGTTCACAGGAATTAAAATAGCACTGATCATAGGAAATAAAAGGATTTCAGTTACCTTGCATAAATCAATTCCATGGAAATTAGAAGACCATTAGTTACCATTCAGCTACTACATAATCAATTCTACAAAATTACAAATCCATCAGTTAACACTTCGAAGCAATTAATATATATGCAAATTAAACAAGGGTCGACTGCAGTCATACCTTAGGAAATAAAGCAAGTCTCAGGCTCTCCAATGCCTTGTTTCTCTCAGCCAAAGCTTTTGCATTAAGCTGATCAGTAGGCGCAAGCAACAGCTGTGTGTAAGTTTCTAGCATTTTGCAGTTAGTTTGTTCATGAGCTGCTTCATGGTTAAGCCTAGCTGCTTCGATCTTCTTAGCAGCCAAGCTTTGCTGAATTTCAGTCATCTTCTCTCTGTCTTCCCTATTCTTCATGCTTGCTTCAATGAACTTCTCAACTTTTCCACTAAAATCAGCCAAAGCATCAGATGACTTCTTTTCTCCATTGAGTTCTTTTTTGCTTTCTTATGTCCTGTAGGTCGCTTTTCTCCATCTAATTCCAAATCCACCATTTGAGCTGGACGAGCCTTTGCACTCTTTTCCTTTTCCTTCTTCAACCTAGCAAGATATGCTGACCACTTCTGCTGTCCACGTACTACCTTCCACATATGCAGCAGATGGAAGGCCTTACCATTATTTTGGTCGGACCACATCTCTAGTGCTTTGTTAGTCAACTGGTCATCACTCATCCCACTTTCCCACACTCTACTGGCATTTACCCAACATTCATGAAAATCAATCAATGGTTTCTTAGAACGATTCCAACGTATTTTTAGTTGGTTCCAGTTCCTCTTACGACTATTTTCTGTGGTCTTGTTGTATTCTTTAGTAACATCTGTCCAATAAGCATCTAACTTCTTGTCATTTCCATCTACTGGATCCTTTGAATTATGCAACCAAAGCACTGGCCTAAACAACAAAAAGAACAGAATGAAAAAAAGACAATAGTTAATCTTCAAGTGTGCATGGAGATAGCATGCTTTCAACCTACCAGTCGTATGTCTTCATGGACCGACCAATTCAAACGGTTGGCTGTTCTAGAAGTCTCATCAATGTTAATTGTTTCATCTTCTTCTGCATCTATATCATCCACTATGTCAACAGTTTGCTATGCTGGAGAGGGAGTTCTTGTAGCACCCATGTCAATTGGTGAAACTGAAGATTGACTCGATCCAGCACCAACAAAGTGAAAATTTTCATTTCCATTTGGATGGTTAGCAAATGGGTTTGAATGCAGCAAATTTGAGAACCCTCCTGGTGGGTATAACCTACAACCATATGAATTTCCATACACCAGAATTTAAAAACACATAATCAACAACAAGAGCACCTTCGTTAGGAGATTTAGTCAGAGTTTATTTACCCTTCGCTAGGAGATGACATTGGCCACCATCCACCAACAGGTGAAGCACCTGTTCGAGGAAGACCAGCATCTTGAGGAACGCCGATGGCTCTAGCTTGAGCATGGGCTGCTGCAGCACCGGCGACCAGAGCATAGATCCCAGCACCATGGACGGATGGAGGAAGGGTTTTAAGGACGCCTCTGCCTCGCTGAGAATCAGTCTTTGTTAATCGATTCATCTGTGAGATTTGGGGATCTTCTTGGGTCACAGTGTATGGGGGAGGAGATGGAATCGAAGGGAGCTATGGATGGACCTGGATATGAACCGATGGGAGATGGGTGGAAGAGGGAGGGAGATTATCGAGGGGGATTAGAGGGGGCAGGGCCTGAAATTGGCGCGCATCCTTGAAACTTTGGCGACGACGGCGGCTTCAACTCCACGAGCATGCGCGGGAGGTCGAGAAAACACAGGAGATCGATGGCGGGCTCGGGCGAGCGCGTGCGTAGGAGGAGGAGCGTGGGAGAATAGCGCATGCGCGGGAGAGGGAGGAGTTGCGGCGGCGGCGCATGGATGGCGTATGGGATCCATCGACTCTATGCTACCCTCCACAACGCGAGGCATGGTGGTTTCTTGTGGCCTCGGGAGTATCGAAGACCCAGCGTCCAAATAAGACTTGGTTTCCTTCTCTTTCTTCATTGAATTGCCTTCCACGTCATCAAAATGCTGATGTGGCACCATAATAAATAAGGATGGACTCTATCATAGAGTCTGGGTTGGGAGTGCCCTAATCGTCCTACCTTAGTGTTTTTCGTCCCGAAGGACGACTTAGGAATATTTTTGGAATTTTCGAGGTTCATACTATATATTTTTTATAAAATAAATAAATAAATAATAATAAAATAAAAAATCCTTCAGCTGATGATATGTCTGATGCTGACACGAAGAAATAGTTTCAGAAATATCAGCACTCTTTCCTCTTTGAGCAAGGTGATGCATACATACTAATTCGAACTTCTTTTTTTTGGTGTTTTACGACTTCTATAAGGGTCTATTTGGATATAGATATTGGAGGAGCTGAAATTGAATTGGGTTCAATACCAAAGCAGCCATGGTATTGAAATGGCTGCAATTCGAATACTATTGTTTGGATGACCATTGACTTGACTTTTGGAATCCTAGCAAGTAACTCAATACTGTTTTCTGTTTGGATGCAAAAGAATGGAATTGAAATGTTGAGCCATGGCAGGGGAGCTCAACTGCGGCCATGGGGGAGCTTGACCCCGGCAACGATGAGGGGACCTCGACCCCAGCCAACACGGCAAGTGGATCTCGCGCCGCCGGTCATGGTGGACCTTGCGCCGCCGGCCATGGGGGAGAGGAAGAGGAGGCCGTGGTGCCGTCCATGGGGAAGAGAAAGCGAATCTCGTGTTGCCGTCCATGGAGAAGAGGAGGTCGTCGGCCATGGGGAAGACGAAGAGGAGGTCGCGCCGTCATCCAGGGGGAAGAGGAAGCAGATCTCGCGCCGCCGGCCATGGAGAAGAGGAAGAGGAGCTCCCCGGCATGGGGAAGAGGAAGAGGAGCTCGCTGGCCATGGGGAAGAGGGGCGCTGGCCGCGGCGACGAGGAAGAGGGCGCTCGCATCGCCGCTCGCCCACCGTCGAAGGGAAGAGGGCGCTCGCCGGCCACGGGGAAGAGGGGCGCTGGCCACCGGCGACGGGGAAGAGGCCACTCATGCCGCCGCTCGCCCGCTGCCGACGGGGAAGAGGGCACTAGCCCGCTGCCGAGGGGAAGAGGGCACTCGCACACGGTAAAGAGGCAGTCGGGTCCGATTCCACTCAATATGGAGGGGTCGGGCTCTGTATTGGGATAGGCCTCTTTCAGTTATAGTTCAATACCAAGGAATTGGATCTTCAATGTCAAATCTCAATTCCATGTGCATCCAAACAACAGTATTGAGGAAACCTGATTCCAATTCCAATGTCTGGGCTCCAATATCTACATCCAAACACTACCTAAGGGAATTGTTGGCGTTCAAATGTTGATGGAACAGGATTTCATCGGACGGTACCCAACAACCCAACAGAAACGTGCCTCACTCCCACCATATCATTGTAGTCCTTCCTCGTCTGCCTCGTCCCGCCACGCACGCGTACCCACGCCCGTCTGTCTTGCCCCACCCCACGCTTGCCGCTCCTCCCCTCTGACCCCCTCCTCTCTCTCCGCGGGGGCGGGACCCGGGAGCCAGGATGAGGACGAGCATGCCTCGTCCGCAAGACCCCATGCGCGCCGCGCACCCCATCCGCCGGTCCTCGACTCACCGTGCCCCTTCCTCCGGTGCCTGGGCCATTCCCCCATGACTCTCTGAACATAGCTCTCAAACATGAAACACTTGCAACATGAAACACTTGAATGCACCATAAATCTGGAGTAGATGAAATATTTGGAAAATACCCTTATGTGTGTGAAACATATGCAACATCCAGATAAAACACTTGCAAGTTGCAACATAAAAACACTTATGGCAACATAAAAGCTAAAACAATTGAAACATTTCGAACATACTCTTACAACATATGTGTGAAACATATGCAACATCCAAATAAGCACACTTGCAACATACGTATGAAAAAGCAGATGAAATATTTGGAACGGACGCTTGCAACATACGTGTACAACGATTGCAACATTTGCAACATCACGATCTATTTTTTGCAACATCCATATCAAACACTTGCAACATGCCTCTGAAATATCTGAAACAATTGAAACATACTCTTGCAACATGCTCTTTCAACGCAAAATATCCTTGCTGCTCGGCGAAATGGAGGCTGTCGGTGTGTGGTGTTCACCGATGGCAGCGGCCCGACCCCGGTAGCACTTGTAGGCGACGGGCCGGCGGTAGTGGCTGCACGTCGCGGAAGGGAGGCATCGGCTGCACGAGCGGCGGGGAGGCCGCGACTTGGAGAGGGCAGCAGCGCGCCGTGCCTAGCAGGGCTGGCAGCCGAGCGCCGCGACTTGGAGGCAGCCGAGCGACGTTCCTGTCAAGGCCAGCGGTCAAGCGGTGCGCCTTGTAGGTGACCGCGCGCTGTGCCTTGGAGGACCAACAACCATGCGAAGGCGGCAGGCGAGCGGGTAAGAGCGATAGGAAGAGAAATGAGTGGATATGAATAAGTGATGAGCATGGTTTTTCCGAAACGAAGGAGCGTAGGTTATTGAGTTAGCGTGGTGGCCCAGCAACAGAGCGTCCAGGCGGACGGACGCCCGATTCAAAGCATTACCGCTTCTATAATGAGGAGAAGGTAGGTACTCTTAATCTTCAGAAGACAGCTGATATATATGCTTCTAGAGAATGAATGCTACCATGATATCGAGTTAGGCAAAATTCATAGGAAGCAGATATTCAGATTAGCAATTTCCATTGAAGAATTTTTTAACTTCTTGCGCTGGATAACATGCTATGGCCCTGTTCGTTTGTTTTATGAGCCGTACTGTTTCAGCGAAGGAATAATGTTTTTCTCTTACAACAAATCAGCGATCAATACTTTCAGTCATGGTTTTTCAACGAAGCCGATAGGGCCTATGCTACTTTATTTTAGCAGAACTTTTTTCTCGTAGCCCTGCATAGCATGCTTACTTTTAGCAGATCACAACGCAGCTCGGCGCTCAATGCTATGTAAAGCAAAAGCTAACAAAAGGGCGTCTTCAATCAAGATTTTAATACAGTTGCTAAATTTGAACCAAGCAGTGCTGGAAGAATTTTAGTGGTGGCTTTACCCGAGTTGCTTTCAGGCACTCCACATGGGCCGGAAAAGAACAAAAGAGTGCTCTAGTTTGCAATGGAACTAGCCATCTTTCTGCCAGTTTTAGGACAACCTGTGATTTGACCTGTTACTAGTATGAGTTTCTAGACCAGCTCACTTAATTGGTTTGAGCTGTTCTTGGATAGTGATGTGATGAACTGCATGCTGCATTCTTTGAACCGCTTTTCCAGAGAGTTCACTAAAAGTTACTACCTACAATTATTGATGGCCACACGTAACTTACAGGGGCACATAATAATCTCTGGTCACAATTCTTCAGGGAGAACGCTCTCCACGAAAAATAAAACTTTTAAAAAAAAATACAAATTCTTCAGGGAGAACTAAGAAGACAGCGCCATGTCTTGCATTTCAAACGTCATGATGCACGAGAGACAAGTTTTTCAGACCGAAAGTGCTTACGTTTGAAATGTAGCGAGGCTTTGTTTAGATTGGGGTTAGAAATCAGTATTGGGCACTGTAGCACTTTTATTTGTATTTGATAATTATTGTCCAATCATGGCCTAACTAGGTTCAAAAGATTCGTCTCGTAATTTACAATTAAACTGTGTAATTAGTTATTTTTTATCTACATTTAATACTCCATGCATGTGCCCAAAGATTTGATGTGATGGAGAGAGAGTGAAAAAACTTGTAATCTAAACAAGGCCCTAGTACCGGTTCCGGCTCTGCAGACTTGTTTGATAATTTGCAACGACAGGCTGTTCGCTTGCTCGTATACGATCGTGGATTATAAGCTGGAACAGTATTTTTCTCTCACGCTAAATCAGCCAGCAATAAATAATCCACGATCATTTACGGCCTAACGACCGTAACGTGCACAAGAATGCTGAAAGACTTATTCAAGCTCCACTTTTCACCAGGGAATGGTCGTTCTATTTGGTAAAATAGATAGACTGCTGCGATCAACGAGTCATTGTTATGAATTTGAAATGTATGATACAGAAAAAAAAATACAAGCAAATAATAATTCTGGGAGGCTACCACAGAAAATAAAAAAGAAAACCAAAACAATAAACAGACAACGTGAACCGGATCAACCCAATTGATCATTAAAGCGCTCCATAAAACCGTGTTTGACACATGAAAAAGCAAAGAGTTAATGGGTTAAAAAAAACTCAAACCAAATCCATATGATCGAGCTCATAGACCCTACCAACTTTTATAAAATGGCTCCTATATCATGATTAGATCATGTATAATATATGCATTTCGTGTAGATGTTATAACGTTGACAGAAGGTAACTTTTGCCATGGGACTCATATACACCTAGCCGTGCCTATTTGCGCAGGATAGTCCTATTCTAACTTTATAGTATGAATGTAATTTTAAAGATTTATTTTTTGAACAAAGTAATTTTAAAGATGTAAATATTAAAGTTTTACCATGAACACACATAGGCACCTAGCTGTGTCTACTT